GACTTAAGACGAAGTTGGATAATTCAGTTATCGAAGATAGTTAATAAATATGGATTTTCTATTAAACTGTTTATGGATCGTAATTATGATATAGAGCAGTATAGTAAAGAAATAATACATAGAGTTATGGAATACTCTATTATCCAAGACGTGGAAGATATACGAAAACGAGAAAATACAAGCTGGTATGCAACAATTTTAAATTATCCTGTAAATAACAACTATATATTGACAAATATAGCTTTTAACGTTAAAAAGTTTTTTATACAGATTAGGTTAAATAAATACGGAATAATTATAAATGACAAATATATAGATTACACCCAATCTAAATGTCCGAATTGCACCAAAAATTTATCTAAAATTCATATTTTATGTGAAAATTGCGACGAAAAGGATAAACTACAAAGACTCCAGATTGGGACGCTAGCTAAATGTACTAGTGAGCTAGAAATGTACAAGACATTAGATAGAGCAGATGATAACACAATTTATAAGTTGTATAATTATGTTAAACAACTAATTAAATAATAATTATGTCAAATTATTAATATAATTGTATAGACTAATAAATAGAAAATATTAATATTGTTAAAAAAAAAAATTATTATATGAGATGTTAATATGCGTTAATTCAAAATTAAAACGCCCTTGTAACAGGCGAAAGCCTTCTACTCCAATAAAGATTACTTACTTACTTACTTATAACAACAAACTTCACTTTGAAAGGAATGAAATTCTACTTTTGCAATTTTTTATTAATACAAGTCTTTATCAAAAACACTATTAATAATTCAAAAACAAAATTTGTCCCGGATCTCTTTGTGTTTTAAGCAAGTTGTTTTTGTAATATTTTATCATCTATGTCTAAAACCATGCAATATTTTAAATGTGTTTGCTTTCTATTATCAGTCTGCCTATGCTGGCCACCACACACACTTTTCCTCACTTTCTTTTATTTGTTTGTACTTGCCTTATTCTTATAAGGAGGCTTTGGTTGAAAATCTATTTTTGAGATATAGTTTCCATTTAGTTTACTTTACCAGGGTTTAAGCTGGAAAAAAATTTTCTGTAGTATTTTAGCTAATTTTACTAAAAAAAAGTTGTAGCAAAATTTTAGAAACTGTAGCTAACATTTCTCATCCGTGAGGCTGCCCAGAACAATACACAATATATTATTGTTTAAACATTTGTTTATTCTCATAGATGTTTAACAAGTTGCTGACAGTTTATACATCAAGACAGTTTCCAATTGGAGTTTTTGTTAATGTTATATCACAAACCTTTTACACTCAATAGTGTGCACTGGGTGTGAAAGAACAAATTCAATAACTGTTGACATATGAGGGTAATCTGAGAGGTCGTTTACAATATTATTTTATAAACTTTAGCCAATGATATCCTTACATCTGACAGCAACAAATCTTTCAAACAAGTCCCACTCCACAGAAATTTTGTTTTTAAAAACACAATATTAACAGTTAAGTATTCATTTATTGGAAACTTTCATGTCTACAAAGTAAAAATAATTATTCACACTAAATTTACTGCTGTTTTGAGAAAATTGATTTTTCTAGATAAATCAGTCTAGGCATTTATTTGATTCTTCTTTTCCTCAAATAAGTACTGTACAGTATATGCAATTGCACATTTAGGAAAACCTGGCTCAAGTGAATGAATTCAAAATTTCGTTAACTTGTGATGATAATGATATTCGTTTTGTTTGTTGCATCATTTGCTGAACCTCATTTAGTGTTAAATACAATGGAATTACAGCATTTACAAGGCATGCCAATTGTGAGAAGCATTAAAAAAGAAGTGCATCTTCTCATTACCTTCCCCTTCCTCAGTCGTCGTGTCAGCCAACAAAACAGTTTTCAAAGGTCGCAACCTTAGATGACACAATGGGATAGTTTTTTTTTTCTTTCTTTAGTTAAAGGGAATTAGCTGTAATTTGTTTGAGGATAGTGTTGCAATATTAACTTTATCTGCAATAAGATAGATTAAAATTTATTTTCTACTCTGCAATAAAAGTATGCATATCCACATATAAATAAAGAATTTTCAGGTTTCTTTTGAAAGATTGATTCTGGATTTCCCAATCACTTTTCATTCTTATGCTTGATGTTTATTAATTAATGAATGTATCATGCTTGTAATGTAAATAGCTAATTTTTCTAAACTAAAATAAACTTTAGAAAATATTCAAAAGAATCAGAATCAGGAGAAATTTTGGTATTGTCCATCATTAAAAATGTTAGTTTTTAAGATGTTTTAACTAGTGATGTGACAATACCAAAATTTGGAGATCTGATGTCAATTTCATTCTTGCAGAATTTTGCATCAAAATTAGTCAGCAACTCAAATTGCCAAATTGCTAAAACTTGTTTTGCAAAGTAACAACTTGACCAATTCAAATGAAATTTTGCACATTAATAGAACTAATAAAATGGCATGTCACAGTGGGACCAAATTTTTAAATTCAACTTAGAACAGGAGATATAAGATGGGTCAAAGGTCATCCTTATGTTAAGTCAATGGAAAATTTTGCATCCTTTGATTTGGCACAGTTTACTGACAAGAATCAGAAAATGATGAATTCTGATTATTCATCATGAGTAAACTATCCACACTTTTTGCTATTTGCGAAATGTCTGTTAGGCATTCAACAAATAGCAAATGTGTGGATGCACTCTAATGTGAGTTTGCAAGCTGTTGCTGCACTTTAGTCAAGGATGAAGTTTTCCTAGGGATAAAAAAAGGGAAATTTGGTTCAGTCTTCTTTCCATCATCACCTCCTTGGTTTCTTCCACCCAATCTCTCTCCCAAATAATGAAAACTGTGGGTAATTCACAAGAATTTTTCTTTTCTATTTAATAGAAAACATACTACTACACAACATTGTAAAATTTTATAAGCTCACTTACAATACCAAATATATTATAAGAAAGAAAAGTGTACTGTCTTTTGGCATTATATTTACACAACATTACTACCATAAACATAAAGTTATTACAGTATTGCCATATCCTCAATTCAGTTTGAGTCATCATTGCTATGGAGAACATCATAATGTTCCTCTTCTTCATCATTGCTATAGATTACAACTTCATTATGCTAAGCTTTTTTATCATCTTCCTCCAGTAGTAAGCTGGGATTCACATGTTGCTTTTGATCCTACAATAACTTTTTGCTCCCAAATCACAGCTCCTAAGATTTGAGAGTGGATTGATGTGTCTTTTGCAAAGGTTCTAATGGGAAAATTACTGCAGCATATACAGAACACTCTTAACCAGCTACAGACATGGCCATTAAACATTTTCCAGACTCCTTTACAGAATAAATAGAAAGCATTAGAGTGTACAAATCCTGATTTATGACCATGTTACAGTTAGGAAATGACAACAACATGGATACAACCTTTTTACAGTGAAAATTACTAGTTTTTTAATGAGAAAATATTTAATTTTATAGTTAGTACATTCTAAACATGAATAGGATATAACTAATGCCCAGTTGGAGGAAATTAAATACCAATTTAAATAACTATGTTTCAAGAAAGATTAGGTTCCTGCCTGAATATGTATAGTGGTAAGGACACTTCAACATAATATGAAGTATTGAATACTTGAATAAAAAAAAATAATGTAATATGCCAATGAGTGCTGAATATAAAATAGCATTTAATGGCAAAATTAGTTTTTAGAAGATTCCTACCATTTTTTCTGGAAAAATTAATCTGTATACAGATGAAACTACTGAATTACCAAAAATTAGCCCACATACATTAATTTAAAAAAAAAAAGAAAAAACAAGAATAAGAATGATTAATGGCATTGTTGAAGAAAAAAGGGATGGATAAGTTTGTAAACTTTTCAAATTTAATATTGATAATACAGAAGATATCAAATAAATACATATTTTAACTTTGCAGGATGTTGAAGGTAGAATAAAATTGACATGAAGTTAAATAAGTAATAGTTAAACAAACAACAAAATCTAAACAAAACAAAATACATTTTATAGTAAGGTTTTATTTTTTAATGAACCAAATTTATTTCCATTAAATCAGAATTTTTCATGATACCATTCTTTTAAGCATATTAATCCTTGTGAACTTATAATGAGAATTGAGATAGTTATTTTTTGTTGTTGTTAATAAAGCTAATTTATTAAGTATATAAAGTATATAACATTGTAATTTGAATATTTAATACTTAACAAGTAAATACAAAAAATTTACAGATTGACATGAGGCAATTACATCAGTTAATATATGCTTTTAATTTGTAGCATTTATCAATAGTCTGTGCAATGAAACCAAAGAAAATGCTGTTGTCCAATTGTTATCTCATCTTCCATTATTACGACCAGGAAATAATGAAGCAAAATTGCAGTATCTTAGTTTGATACCAAAGATACTATCACATTCAATTGAAAACTGTGTTCACATTGAGGAGAGTCGTCAGTTATTGTCTTATTCTCTCATTCATCCAGCCATATCTAATGATGATAGACGTTCTCTCACACTTTGGTTGCGTCATCTTGAAGAACGCATGAGTAACTATGGTCCCATTAACGGTAAGTGAACAAACCCAATGTAAATTATTTATTCATTGTGATATTTGGCATTTATTTTCTTTGTAGTAATATGTCTAACATTGAAATTCTATTTTGAGATTTTGGATTTGAAAAAAATATAAATTTTTGGTATTTAAAAAAATTTAATTAAAAATAATAAAGTAAGTTGAATTNTGCAAGAAGTGACTTCTCTTTTTAAGCTGATTTTAGAGGTTAAATATTTAATATTACACTACACAGTCAAAAGGGATAACTTGTATTCTGGTACTTTTAAAAATATATTTCTTCCAAATGCATTTTGCCTAGATTACTTACTTAGTGTAGGTCTCTTCTGTGGTAGTACTGTGTGGTGTAACAGGAAAATTATTTTTGTGTCATTAATTCATTTTGATTGCTTTCATTAGCCAATCCCATTGAGTAATTTTTTAAACTTTTTATAGAGATAAGGTTCAGAATGAAAATAGGGAAATACCTACAGTCATGAAGTGGAAAATGATTTAACACATGATAAACCAAATGCATTTAGGCCATTATCATTTTTTTCATTTATAATAAGGCCAAAGAAAAAAATTCAGTGTAGGTTTAAGATGCACTATACAGGAGCTGCAGACTAAAGTTCACTAACAAAAAAATGCTGTCTTTTTTTAAGAGAGAAGATACAATGCCTAAAAGACAGATGCAAAGAATATGTTGAATCAGAAAAATCAATAAATAAATTAAAGAAATTGAGTAAAAGATTTAGAAAATGGGATATTAAAAGCAAGTTATATTGCAACAGATGATAAACTACCAGTGATGAAAACCTAGCTGGTAAGAAGCCATGATATGATAGCAGTTTGCTTATCAAGCAAATTGCTAATCCTAATCATGCAAGTAATGTTCCAGGACCATTATTTAAAGACAAGAAATTTAATTTTTAATAGCTTAGTCAAAATATTTTTAGAGAATTTTGGGAAAAAAGAACAGACATATTAATTAAATCTTCAAACTTAACTAAACAAAACCTGAGTAGAAAAATTTTTAAACTAATTTTTTAATAGTAAGATGATATATAATGTGTGTGTGTACCTATACACAATATATATAATCTTACTAATTATATATATTTTATACTATGTAAATTATATAGTGAGTGTATGTTGCTGGCCAAAAGGTTTTAGAACACATGTCTCAAGAACAAGTTATTTTTTGAAATTGATTTTTTTGGGTTGTTCGTTAATTTATTATTATAAGTAAGTCAACAGAATTTCAGAATGACATGTGTTGGAATTTGATTTTTATTCCAGTTTTTAAGGAAGACAAATGGACAAAAGTTTAGAACAGTTTTACTTCACTAAAGATACAGAAAATTATACATACTAAATTAACAATTAATAACTTGTTGCACTGCTATTTTTCTCTGCAACATTTAACAACCTAGAAGGAATTAATTTATAAAGAGTCACAATAACATTTTTATCAAAATTATCAGCACAATGTTGAATTGCATACTTTAACTCTTCACAAGAATTAAACTGTCCCTGTTCATAAATTTTCTGTTCCATTAAATGCCGAAGATTTTCTATAATGTCCAAGTCAGGACAGTGAGCTGGCCAATTATGGGAACTTTATTCTCTTGAAAGTAATGCCTAACTATGCGAGATGTATGAATTGCAGCATTATCTTGCTGTCAAACCATTTTCCATTTGAAAAAATTTTTCACATAAAAGTAGAAATGTTTTCAGATCATTCAGATACTTCATGGCATTATACTTTCTATCAATGCATTTGATTATCAATTAACTTAATTATGGCACCCAGAACCATTAAGGAGTCATCTTCTTGATGGCATTTTTTATGATGAGGTTTTACTTTAATTCTTGCAGTTTTCTCAAAATAAGATTTGGCATTTTCTAAATCCTCAAAACAAAAATGTTTTTCTTCATTAAATATAATTAAATCAAAATTGGAATGTTCTCTTATATAGTCATTGCAAATTCAAGATGTTGGTATTTATGATTATCTGTCAATGGCAGATTTTTCTTCACTTTTTTTATAAGAAAAGTTGTCAGCCATAAATTGACAAATAGAATGCCAGGAAGTACCTAATTTGAGTTTTCTTTGATATTTTGACTGTTGACAATATGGTCTCTTGCTACTTTGTTGCAGACATGATGCTTCTGTATTGCTTTTAGGTGCCCAATATGTTTGTTTGCCTTTCCTCCAATCTTTATTATGTAATACATTGAAAAAGTATATGGCTGCTTTTTGACTCCCTGTGCTATCTTTCTTATGGTGAATCCTGTAGCGGATAACTGAAGAATCTTTTACTTTATTTCTTCTGACGAAGTCATTTTAGAACAAAAAGTATTTAATTCAAAGCAAATATATCTTATAACAAAAACAAAGAAATTAACATTAAATATAACAGAATAAACAAAAAGTTCCAAGTGTTCTAAAAACTTGGCAAGCAGTGTGCATGTATGTGTATATGTATATATATGTATATATAACATGAAGTGAAGTTTGATGTATAACAACAAACTTCACTTCATGTCTTTCTTTATTAATAAAGAAGAAGTGAAGATAGTGAAGGAAATTAAATTTTTAGGAGTTACATTCACACCTAATCTCTCGTTTGAAAAACATTATAAAAATTCACTAAGTAAAGCAAAAATTGCAATAAATAATTTAATTGGTCTATTCTGCAAGGCAAAAATGAAGAACATACGTATACATTTTCAGTTATTTAATTCGATTGTGATGAACTCAATGGGATATGCTGCCCCAATTTGGAGCATGGAAAAATTTAATGACTTTGAGAAAATACAGAATATATTCATACGTAAGATATTCCAGCTGGAATACAATATCCCGGGTAGTGCCTTAAGATTAGAAACACATAGATTCAGAATAAATACTATACTAATAAAAAGATATTTAAAGTTTTTACAAAAAATTATTAAGGCTGAAGATATAACAACAAAATTGCTGTTCTTACTACATCACAAATCAAGGGAAACGGACTTAAGACGAAGTTGGATAATTCAGTTATCGAAGATAGTTAATAAATATGGATTTTCTATTAAACTGGTTATGGATCGTAATTATGATATAGAGCAGTATAGTAAAGAAATAATACATAGAGTTATGGAATACTCTATTATCCAAGACGTGGAAGATATACGAAAATGAGAAAATACAAGCTGGTATGCAACAATTTTAAATTATCCTGTAAATAACAACTATATATTGACAAATATAGCTTTTAACGTTAAAAAGTTTTTTATACAGATTAGGTTAAATAAATACGGAATAATTATAAATGACAAATATATAGATTACACCCAATCTAAATGTCCAAATTGCACCAAAAATTTATCTAAAATTCATATTTTATGTGAAAATTGCGACGAAAAGGATAAACTACAAAGACTCCAGATTGGGACGCTAGCTAAATGTACTAGTGAGCTAGAAATGTACAAGACATTAGATAGAGCAGATGTTAACACAATTTATAAGTTGTATAATTATGTTAAACAACTAATTAAATAATAATTATGTCAGATTATTAATATAATTGTATAGACTGATAAATAGAAAATATTAATATTGTTAAAAAAAAAAAAAAAAATTATTATATGAGATGTTAATATGCGTTAATTCAAAATTAAAACGCCCTTGTAACAGGCGAAAGCCTTCTACTCCAATAAAGATTACTTACTTACTTACTTATAACAACAAACTTCACTTTGAAAGGAATGAAATTCTACTTTTGCAATTTTTTATTAATACAAGTCTTTATCAAAAACACTATTAATAATTCAAAAACAAAATTTGTCCCGGATCTCTTTGTGTTTTAAGCAAGTTGTTTTTGTAATATTTTATCATCTATGTCTAAAACCATGCAATATTTTAAATGTGTTTGCTTTCTATTATCAGTCTGCCTATGCTGGCCACCACACACACTTTTCCTCACTTTCTTTTATTTGTTTGTACTTGCCTTATTCTTATAAGGAGGCTTTGGTTGAAAATCTATTTTTGAGATATAGTTTCCATTTAGTTTACTTTACCAGGGTTTAAGCTGGAAAAAAATTTTCTGTAGTATTTTAGCTAATTTTACTAAAAAAAAGTTGTAGCAAAATTTTAGAAACTGTAGCTAACATTTCTCATCCGTGAGGCTGCCCAGAACAATACACAATATATTATTGTTTAAACATTTGTTTATTCTCATAGATGTTTAACAAGTTGCTGACAGTTTATACATCAAGACAGTTTCCAATTGGAGTTTTTGTTAATGTTATATCACAAACCTTTTACACTCAATAGTGTGCACTGGGTGTGAAAGAACAAATTCAATAACTGTTGACATATGAGGGTAATCTGAGAGGTCGTTTACAATATTATTTTATAAACTTTAGCCAATGATATCCTTACATCTGACAGCAACAAATCTTTCAAACAAGTCCCACTCCACAGAAATTTTGTTTTTAAAAACACAATATTAACAGTTAAGTATTCATTTATTGGAAACTTTCATGTCTACAAAGTAAAAATAATTATTCACACTAAATTTACTGCTGTTTTGAGAAAATTGATTTTTCTAGATAAATCAGTCTAGGCATTTATTTGATTCTTCTTTTCCTCAAATAAGTACTGTACAGTATATGCAATTGCACATTTAGGAAAACCTGGCTCAAGTGAATGAATTCAAAATTTCGTTAACTTGTGATGATAATGATATTCGTTTTGTTTGTTGCATCATTTGCTGAACCTCATTTAGTGTTAAATACAATGGAATTACAGCATTTACAAGGCATGCCAATTGTGAGAAGCATTAAAAAAGAAGTGCATCTTCTCATTACCTTCCCCTTCCTCAGTCGTCGTGTCAGCCAACAAAACAGTTTTCAAAGGTCGCAACCTTAGATGACACAATGGGATAGTTTTTTTTTTCTTTCTTTAGTTAAAGGGAATTAGCTGTAATTTGTTTGAGGATAGTGTTGCAATATTAACTTTATCTGCAATAAGATAGATTAAAATTTATTTTCTACTCTGCAATAAAAGTATGCATATCCACATATAAATAAAGAATTTTCAGGTTTCTTTTGAAAGATTGATTCTGGATTTCCCAATCACTTTTCATTCTTATGCTTGATGTTTATTAATTAATGAATGTATCATGCTTGTAATGTAAATAGCTAATTTTTCTAAACTAAAATAAACTTTAGAAAATATTCAAAAGAATCAGAATCAGGAGAAATTTTGGTATTGTCCATCATTAAAAATGTTAGTTTTTAAGATGTTTTAACTAGTGATGTGACAATACCAAAATTTGGAGATCTGATGTCAATTTCATTCTTGCAGAATTTTGCATCAAAATTAGTCAGCAACTCAAATTGCCAAATTGCTAAAACTTGTTTTGCAAAGTAACAACTTGACCAATTCAAATGAAATTTTGCACATTAATAGAACTAATAAAATGGCATGTCACAGTGGGACCAAATTTTTAAATTCAACTTAGAACAGGAGATATAAGATGGGTCAAAGGTCATCCTTATGTTAAGTCAATGGAAAATTTTGCATCCTTTGATTTGGCACAGTTTACTGACAAGAATCAGAAAATGATGAATTCTGATTATTCATCATGAGTAAACTATCCACACTTTTTGCTATTTGCGAAATGTCTGTTAGGCATTCAACAAATAGCAAATGTGTGGATGCACTCTAATGTGAGTTTGCAAGCTGTTGCTGCACTTTAGTCAAGGATGAAGTTTTCCTAGGGATAAAAAAAGGGAAATTTGGTTCAGTCTTCTTTCCATCATCACCTCCTTGGTTTCTTCCACCCAATCTCTCTCCCAAATAATGAAAACTGTGGGTAATTCACAAGAATTTTTCTTTTCTATTTAATAGAAAACATACTACTACACAACATTGTAAAATTTTATAAGCTCACTTACAATACCAAATATATTATAAGAAAGAAAAGTGTACTGTCTTTTGGCATTATATTTACACAACATTACTACCATAAACATAAAGTTATTACAGTATTGCCATATCCTCAATTCAGTTTGAGTCATCATTGCTATGGAGAACATCATAATGTTCCTCTTCTTCATCATTGCTATAGATTACAACTTCATTATGCTAAGCTTTTTTATCATCTTCCTCCAGTAGTAAGCTGGGATTCACATGTTGCTTTTGATCCTACAATAACTTTTTGCTCCCAAATCACAGCTCCTAAGATTTGAGAGTGGATTGATGTGTCTTTTGCAAAGGTTCTAATGGGAAAATTACTGCAGCATATACAGAACACTCTTAACCAGCTACAGACATGGCCATTAAACATTTTCCAGACTCCTTTACAGAATAAATAGAAAGCATTAGAGTGTACAAATCCTGATTTATGACCATGTTACAGTTAGGAAATGACAACAACATGGATACAACCTTTTTACAGTGAAAATTACTAGTTTTTTAATGAGAAAATATTTAATTTTATAGTTAGTACATTCTAAACATGAATAGGATATAACTAATGCCCAGTTGGAGGAAATTAAATACCAATTTAAATAACTATGTTTCAAGAAAGATTAGGTTCCTGCCTGAATATGTATAGTGGTAAGGACACTTCAACATAATATGAAGTATTGAATACTTGAATAAAAAAAAATAATGTAATATGCCAATGAGTGCTGAATATAAAATAGCATTTAATGGCAAAATTAGTTTTTAGAAGATTCCTACCATTTTTTCTGGAAAAATTAATCTGTATACAGATGAAACTACTGAATTACCAAAAATTAGCCCACATACATTAATTTAAAAAAAAAAAGAAAAAACAAGAATAAGAATGATTAATGGCATTGTTGAAGAAAAAAGGGATGGATAAGTTTGTAAACTTTTCAAATTTAATATTGATAATACAGAAGATATCAAATAAATACATATTTTAACTTTGCAGGATGTTGAAGGTAGAATAAAATTGACATGAAGTTAAATAAGTAATAGTTAAACAAACAACAAAATCTAAACAAAACAAAATACATTTTATAGTAAGGTTTTATTTTTTAATGAACCAAATTTATTTCCATTAAATCAGAATTTTTCATGATACCATTCTTTTAAGCATATTAATCCTTGTGAACTTATAATGAGAATTGAGATAGTTATTTTTTGTTGTTGTTAATAAAGCTAATTTATTAAGTATATAAAGTATATAACATTGTAATTTGAATATTTAATACTTAACAAGTAAATACAAAAAATTTACAGATTGACATGAGGCAATTACATCAGTTAATATATGCTTTTAATTTGTAGCATTTATCAATAGTCTGTGCAATGAAACCAAAGAAAATGCTGTTGTCCAATTGTTATCTCATCTTCCATTATTACGACCAGGAAATAATGAAGCAAAATTGCAGTATCTTAGTTTGATACCAAAGATACTATCACATTCAATTGAAAACTGTGTTCACATTGAGGAGAGTCGTCAGTTATTGTCTTATTCTCTCATTCATCCAGCCATATCTAATGATGATAGACGTTCTCTCACACTTTGGTTGCGTCATCTTGAAGAACGCATGAGTAACTATGGTCCCATTAACGGTAAGTGAACAAACCCAATGTAAATTATTTATTCATTGTGATATTTGGCATTTATTTTCTTTGTAGTAATATGTCTAACATTGAAATTCTATTTTGAGATTTTGGATTTGAAAAAAATATAAATTTTTGGTATTTAAAAAAATTTAATTAAAAATAATAAAGTAAGTTGAATTTATAACAAATAGGAACTTAAAATTTTTTAAATGTGTTTTTAATCCTTTGTCAAGGCATATTATTTGATACACAAAACTTCCATAACTTTTTTAAAATTAGAAAAGACATCTGTTTATTCATGCATGTTTTATAGCAATATCTAATTTATTTATTTTATATAATGTATACAGTTTTAATTATCAAATTTATTTAATTAAAAATGAGCTATTATTTATTGTGACATTGTCACAATGCTGGGCTGTAATTTTTTATCACAGTGCTCTTAATTTTAATAGTGTCTTGCCACTGTATATTAAATTTTTTCTGTTAACAATAGAGTTATGTGGTCTTCTATCTAACTGTTCAAGAGAGAATTTTTGAATTGAAATGACGTGACTTCTGGTCCAAACCAGAAGTTTGTATATAGTTAATTGGGGCTTCCTACCACTAAACTTTCTGTATCTGATCTTGACTTCCATCTGTCTCGCTCCATTCTTGAGATTTGGAAATGATGGACAGTTGATGGATGCCAATGGGAATTTATAGACTTGCAATTTTTGAAAATTGTAATGCAAATATTTACTATATACAGTTCTTGTGAATTGGATTAATAGCTTATACTTATTCTTAATAGATAATTTCATGATTTATTTATTTATTGTATTTTTAAAATCAACATTTGTAATGTTTACTTTATAAATATTCTGAAATTTTTAAATTTTTGAAAATTCAATATCCTCATAAATTACTGTATTCTTTATAATATGTCTTGACTCAGAAGTATGTTAGATTTAAGTATAACAGAATGGTATTTGATATGATTCTGAAAAATAAATTGACACATCAACAACTGCTATAAATCATTTGGCTATAATTACGCCATCTCATATTAAATTTAATACAAGATGACATCTAACACCGCCCTCTAGTGTTAAATTCATTTGTAATTTATAATTATTATTTTCAAATTATAGCCCAATGATTTATAGCAGTTGTTGGTATGTCGTTGCAATGCATCAGGCTTTAGTATAGATGTTTATAGAACAATAAATTGTTGAAACAATGTAAAAATAGTAGAAATTTCTTTACTTTTTGTTTTGAAGTGAAATAAATTATATCGAATAAATCATTAAATATCACCAGAATTTTTTAGTTGTTTTAATTAAGGTTATAAATTAATATGTAATAAATGATAGATAACCTTAAGTAGTAATAAATTAATTTATAATCTTGAAATCCTGTAGCAGTGGTTATTTAAAACAGTGGTTGCCAACCTTTCTGACCTCACGGACCACTAAACTCACAATTTTGAATCCTGCAGACTGCTATCGTAAATTTTTTTAAACAATACAAACATCTATAGAATAATGATAATAAAAGTTCCATTTTACTTCATTAATTAATTAATATGAAATTCACTTGTTTAATTATAACAAATCAGTATGAAGTTTGTTGCTGCTTGTTTGAAATAAGTTTATGGATTCTTGATTCTTCCACAAAGAATGACAACTGCAGTCTCAACATTAAACATCAATATTAATATTGTTGATTTATTGACATTATTATTTATTGACAACAGTCATTTCACATTTGGTTTTAGATTCAAATAAAAAGCCCCCAATGAGTGAGAAAAAAGCAATCAAGCATTTTGCATTTCTATTGTAAAACTTCTCATAACCTTGAGTTGATCAATATCCAAATTTCTCTATGGACTACTGGTTGGCGACCTCTGATTTAAAATACTTGGACTGATTTGATTTATGTACAGGCATCCTTTGCTAACATTATAAATACACTCCTGAAAATCAATTGTTTGGCAGAAAAATGCTAACTGAGATTATTTCCTATTATTTTAAATGAGAAAAATTACAATGTATTACAATGTCAATTCAAAGTTCCTAATTTCAAAAAATAACTAAAACACAAAATTATGCTTATATATCATTATTCTATCAGGACAGAGTTTGTAAGCAAATGCTTGTTTTTTTTTTTTAAATCTATACTAATATTATAAAGAGGTAATGTTTGTATGTATGTTAGTTTGTATGCAGCAGGTAATCTCCGAAACTACTCATCCGATTTCAAAAATTCTTTCACCAATATTTAGAATGGAACTTCAGGGTGGACATAGGCTATATATTATTCCGTTAAACATGGGGGATGGACAGTTCTTTACGATAAGCCTTATGGAAAAGGTTACCGTAAAGAACTCTGCTTCTATTTATACCATTTTAGATGCGGTTTTTTGCGTTTTTGATTGCGTTTTAATAGGGTACGTCAACAGAATGTACACTAAGAAGGAATTTTTCGATATTCCCCCACGGGGAGAGGGACAGAATTAAGGCTTACCGTGAAGAACTTGACTTCTATTATATTATTTTAGATGCGGGTTTTTGCATTTTTGATTGCGTTTTAATAGGGTACGTCAAGAGAATGTACACTAAGAAGAAATTTTTCGTAAAATTTTCCCCCACAGGGGAAGTGTTATACATTTATAATAGATACATTTTGAGCCACAACAACGCGTGGCGGGGTCTGCTAGTATACAATAAAATATAAATACAACTTTTTCACAAATTAAAACCTTTACTTTTGTTTTCTTCCGTCATTTTTCACCATCAACAGTCCATCAAAATTTACAAATATACGGAGATGACCTTCCTTTTGAGGCTACTGCCTCCACAACAAAATATCAAAATATGGTAAAGCTTCTTCTGGTGTTCCTGCCACTATCATAAAAATACATTTTGGTAAAAATAATAAAAAAAAAATGGCCAACAGTTATTTACATTTAATATGATGGAAGAAGAACAAAAGCAAAGGTTTTACTTTGTGAAAAAGTTGTATTTATATTTTATTGTATATTAACTGTAAATAACTGTCAGCCATGTTTTTTTACTATTTTTACCGGCTTGTTTTTTTCTTAAATGCTATGATATTGAAACCTTGATATAAACACAATTTGAATCCAAGTGGATCAAATTAAGATAGTTTGATATTGATTTATTGATTTGATTGGTTATGATTTTTACTGCATATTTTGCATATTTGATTATTTTTGGGACTAAGTAAATGCTTTATGAACTATATAGCTTGTTTGTATTCTTTTTTCAAATGTTCTATAGTTTGTTTCTGCTATCTGTGCAGTGAATCTTCTTTTTGTATATGTACAGTTCAAATGAGCAATATTGTTTCACCATCCAATAACAGATGTGTGCACAAAATTCAAATGCTTTAAATTTGAACTGTCTAACTCATATTTTTCTAAAGTCTAATGAACAAACACATTTTGAATGGAGGTAATACTGGTGTTTTAACAAGAAATTCAGGTTGCTACTCGAGGCTACACATAAACAACATAATCAGGTGCAGCCAATTCCGTTTCACAACTATACAGAGGAGCATATTCCATCCTGAGTTTTCAGGACAACGGGGACCTAAGTACATTCCCCCATCACGCAACATGGTACCTCCGTTGTGGCCCTAGTGGCTCTCAAGAACTGTCTCAAGAACTCAAGTGGCAACCAGATTCCCAGAAATGGAACTCTGTCATCTTGGCATTTGCCTCAGTGAGACAACCTACCATTGTCTCACTGAAAGGACCAAAAACCGTCTGAATGGCAAATCTGTAAGACACTACTTGTCAACAGCCAACATGAGACTCCTAATTTCGGACAAAGAAAAGAGGTTTGTCTTTTGCAGGGAAGAGAACTTTCTATGCAGGCCACGGACTTCCTCGGCCAATACCAAACTGTGGTGTTATCGGATGACTCAACTCTGGCCGTTTTAAGGAAGACCAAGAAAATACTGACTCTTATGAGTGTAACTGCCATCCTCTTGGGGTTCTTAGATGCTCCATTCAACGTTGCCTGCCCCAGGCTTTTCTTTGAGGCCAAAATACACAAAGCAGGCTGGCTATTGATGCCACTGGTTAACAAGAGGTTGCACCCTGTTTACTACCTTAAAAAGGCACTTGCTAAGCTCCTAGGTGGACTCCTTCCCTCTTCCTCTCATGTCACACCTTCCTCCATCGCAGTTAAGGAAACTTTGTCCACTATGCTTGGTAGTTTGTCTCCTAACATGGACAGTTTCTATAAAATTGATGTTGTTGCACTATATCTTTCAGTACTTCACTTTGAGGCTGTCATGCATGCCAACACACTACTTATCAAAGAGGGCTTCACTGTGCAGCAAGTTTTAGAGATGTGTGAGGCTTTACTCTTTATTATAGAAATTTTTTTTATTATAATGTCTGCCACAAATCATTTCCTGCTGAAAAATGGTTTTAAGTATTGAAATGTCATTACATCAGTGCAACATGAAGTGTCAAAATGAGGCAAAAAAGCAGTTGATAACAGATAAATTCTAGTTACATGAAACTAACTTTAGTTCATGATATCATTTGGAAATGAATCATTACTATAAACTTTGACAGTAAATCTAAGTTAATAATTTAATAAGAGCATTTACTTGTTTCTCATTATTTGTACTTATATAAAAACAAAAAATTCAGTAATGAGTTGCATAACATTCCCAGCAAAAGAATTTAAATTGTCATCATCTGCTATGATATTTTATTTAAAAAATCTTTTTATATTATTAATTATAAAATGACAAAAAGCCTGATTTTGAGAGTAGAGATGAGTTTTATAGAAAATTGTAAATGCTAATAATGAGTAAAATCTTTATTAGATTTGACCCTACTTGAGATATGACATATGACTTCCTGTATCTCCCCTCCCACTTGACCTTTGGTGCTATTAAATTATGGTAGTTAATCTCCTTAATACACAAACCTCTCTGCAAATTTTCAGAAATTTTCAGTGATAAGCACAGGAGTTATTAAGCTTCAAAGTGGATGAACAAAATTGTGCCCCCCCACACACACATATATATATATATAAGTTAACCTAGTTATCCTCAAACATTTTGTAAACAATTGTATACACCAGGGGTGGCCAACAAGTCGATCATAAATGTAATTTTGGTCGATTGCTCCAATGTCTTGACTTTTAATGTGTTACACTTGTAACCGAACGCAACTGTAGTGATATTGGTCCTCTGTGACCTTTCTTGGATGTGGTTTTGTCGGTCCATGTTAAGGTTTTTCAAATGGGATCCTGGTTGTTTTTTTAACCCAGGAAATTTTTCTTATCCCTGGAAATTTCACAAATTTCTTAAAAATTCACTTTTTTTCTTATTTTGTGTTAAGGTTGAAGAAATTTTGCAAATAGAAAGCATAATTAACTCATAAACTGTCAGAATACATTTGTATTTATCAATTTTAAACCTACTTATTAGTTTCTTAAGTTTTTGCTCATTATAGCATGTCACAAATGGTCAATAATCAATACATAGCTTTTTTGTGGGATGACTCTCAAAATTCTTTACTTGTTGGAACCTGTAATATCTGGAATAATTGTGCTTATGCTGTCTTAATTTTTAACCATGCCCAGTAGCTTCGATAATTGCGTAACACCATGTTGTACGATGTCTGTAAGTACAAAGTTTTTCTTCATAAACCTGATGATCAAAGACAAACTAACTGACGAATTATTGGGCTATAAGCTTGATGTTTCTATTAAAACAGTCAAAATAGACAAATGAAGAATACTAGAGAGCAAAAGAAGTATTACAATCTCGAAAACGAACTAGAAATCTTCCAGGCTACAGGTGAAAAAAAAAACATATCTGTCTAATCTTAAATGCATTAAACATGATTCCAATCACATCAATCAAATTTGAAAGGGCATTCTCGGTAGCAAGACTTTTTGTTACTAAAATAAGAATTAGATTGAGTGATCGGAGTATTGACATCTTTGCTTTTTAAAATCTTAAAGAAATTTACAATAATATTTTGTGTTACGTTTTATTTAAAAAACAAAAATTACCTTCTAAGTTAGAAGTTTGATCTACATTCATTTTTTTTTTCTTTTTTATTGTATGCAGTTTCCTGCAAACTTTAATAATTTTTTTCTATTTGTGAAAATTTCTACATAATTCAAAAGTAATTTTTAATATATATCTTACACAGCATTATTAATATGATTTTGGAGATAAATTCTTTTGCTGGGAATGTTATGCAACTCATTGCTGAGTTATTTGTTTTTATATAAGTACAAATAATGAGAAACAAGTAACGTATTAAATTACTTTAAAAAATGAAAAATAATTATATCATTTGATTTTAAGATATTTTTTATATCTTAAAAATAATTAATTCTATCTCGGGATAGAATTGATAATTGATTTTATTCCGGGAAACAGTGCACTTTTATCCTGGAATCCTAGGACAAGCAAAACACTGGGAAATAAGAAACCCTAATCCATGTTCAATCCATTTGCGTACAGTTGTAAAAGAATAAGAAATGTACACAAAGGGTCATAAAATCGAAAAAAAGAAAGGCAGGAAGAGGGACAGAGAGAGTAGGTTGGGACACAGTAGAGAGAGGAAGGGTGGTGGTCCCCGAAAGTGACAACATTGAGTTTCAATTTTTCTTCTATTTAAAATGTAAGTACCTTTTCTTCATGTTTTAAATTAAATTGTGGCTTTTCTTACCTATTTAAACATAATATGTATTTCACACCCCCCTTCGCCACTTAGCCTATACCTAGAACAAGTTGATCGTGACACTTTTTTAAGATAAAAAGTAGATCTTATGTACACAAAAGTTGGCCACCTCTGGTATACACTATGTATTGAAATAAATTTAATAATGATAGCATAGAAAGTTAAAATTTTATTGAGCATGTAATTTTACTTGTAATTGACTTGATTGTACACATCCTACATGAAACATTATTCTACTGTATAATTTGTGACATCATGATTCTCAAATTTCTTGTGTCACCTATTGACACATGTTTATCCCCTCCCACCTAAAACGAATGACATAATAGATGTTACTGAGATTTGCTCGTAGACAGAAGTAAAGTACATATGCATTTCAACCTATAAATTGTAGTGCACATTAATGGCTTTTAGCATGCCTAATGCATATTTCAGGTATTTTAAATGCGTATAAATCTGGCCCTTTATAAGTTACAAAAAATATAGCTAAATAAAACCAACATTAGGACATCAAATACATTGCTTTCTGATCAACAAACAGTTGAAACAGCTGTTTGTTAACAACTATATTATTTGCATTAACTTGTTTGTATTCTGTACAATTTGCATTCTTAATTACAAACATTATGTTTATGATTTGGCATGGCAAATAATACACAGCAATAGAGAGATTTTATTTTTAAAAATAAAGACAAAAATTTACAAAAAAAAGCAAGCCTTGCTTTGTCAATTTTCAGCAATGTCTCTGATACTTTTGTAATTTGAGAATTGATGACTACTGTTAATGACATCACAAAATTGTTTTTATCTTTTGTTATAGGAAGTGTTTGTACCATGTGACACTATGCCTCTTCCAGTGCCTGCTATATTTAGAACATCTGTTCTATTTCTTGACACACTCTTTTTGAAACATGTGTGTGTGATTCTAATGTTACAGTCAATTATATTTGGAATGTAACTTGAGACTTTACCAAATATTATTTTGTTAAAAATGTTACATTGAATTTTTGGATTGTAAATATAAATTTTTTTTCCATAAGCATTGCTTAAATATTGAAAGATATATACATTCTACAAAGTTTGAGTATTAAAAATTAAAAGATGTTTTTATCAGGAAAACATTAAATGAAAAGACATTATGTATGGGAGGCCTGTATTTGAAACATGTTTAAACTGAAAGTTATATTTAAAATTACGTACATTATTTCTGTTTTGTAAATTTTAATTTGAATTTGATTATTTTAGATAGCAATTCTGTGACTTCTCAATTGCATCTTCCTATATGTCGTAACTTAACTACTCCAACCTGTACTCAGTCATTTTCAAGTCATAAATCAACTACTTCTGAACATGTTTCAGAAAATGAGAATGTCCATCCACCATCTAAACATAATTCTGATCATGCGCCTCTTTCACCACAAAGTAGTGTTGCATCTTCTGGTAGTGGTAGTGAAAGTCATGCAGATGAAGCAAAAAGTAGCTTTAATATTGATGGAAGTGGAATGAAAGGTAATTGTTATAAATATGTTAGCCAGTATTAATTCCCAACAGAAATTAGAATGCTTAAATTTATTTTACAGATGTGCCAGCGTGGCTAAAAAGTTTAAGGTTACACAAATATTGTCATTTATTTTCTCATGTAACATATGAAGAAATGATGATGTTGACTGAAGAAGATCTTGAAATGAAGGTAATGTCTGTTTTTGTTTTCCTTATTGATTTACATATAGTAAACCCTCAATTTAACAAACCCAATTTAATGGACTTTGGATTTAACAGACAAAACATTTAAAACCATCTTATTTGTAAATAGAGCATGCTGAATGGTTGGATTAAAGAATAAATTATTCAATTTACATTATTATTTTAACCCCTTTTTGTCCATTTAAAAAAAAATTTTTAATTAAGCATAAAAAATACTTAAAACTGAAAAGAAACGAAAGAAATGCGTTTATTTTGGTTAAAAAGCTTCATCATTTAGTTTTCTTTGTCTCGCCTTATTGTGAAATTTAACACCGATGAGTTATTGTTTACACATCTGGATGACCTTGAACACAGCTGGAGTCGGATTTCCCGGGACATTCTCAGACATCGCGGGAGGACAAGGGTTTAAAGTAGGGTGACTTCAATCTGGCGGTATATTTTTAAATATTTTTAAAAAATTATAATTTTTATTGCGATTTCCGACCCCCCCTAATTAATTAAACTTCTATATAATAAAATCTATTAATTAAAAAAATTAAAAAACTATCGGAAGTCGTTTTTGACATCAGAAAGCAGCTTTAAATAACTTTACCGAAGGAAAATCGGTGCACTACAACTTTAGAATGATTAATTAATTTTGATAAAAAACTCCCATTAAAAAAACATTAAGCCTTAATCGAGCCTTATCAAAGGCTCATTAAAATCGCGATAAAATTTTTTCGCGCGCGCAAAAAATTCTGAAAAAAATTGGGGACCTAAAAAACATTCCAAAAATTCAAAAAAAATAATTTTTTCAAAAGTGGCCTTAACGACCTTTTTTTACGTAACGCTATAAAACTTGCTCGAGTCACACTCGAGCGCGGCTCAGAAGGGGTTAATAATACTTATACATTATATATATAATGTTACTGTGAAAGACTGAATATTTGGTTATATTATTATACATTCAAACAATTGCCAGTGTATGTCAACAAGCACAGATAAGCTTTGGTGGAGGTCGAAACAACACCCGAGAAGTCTATGTCGACAGAGCAGCAACAGTCTCTCGCCAAATTCTTCGTAGTTTCCTTCTGCTCAAATTGGTGATACTGTACAAATACAAGTCTCTGGTGTTGATCATGACCATACAGGTGCCTGAAATGTGTTGGCGATTGTTGTTGGAATAGAAGACTCAGACTTTTATAAATTAGCAAAAAAAAGTGGTACCCTCAAGCAGCTTTATATCTGTAATCAGTTCGTAATTTGTAAAGAAAAGTTACTTTCCATAGATGAGATTTCTTCTAAAGAAATATCGCTGAGAGAAGCAGCTGCAGCTAATTCGAAAAGTGGAGGGCAAGGCTATACACGCTGTCATTGCAAAAAAAAGTGTTCCCCAAATAAATGCAGTTGTAAAAGCAAGGGACTCTTGTGAAATTCAAAGTGTCATAACAGTTTAAGTTGTTGCATTAAATAAGATTGTATAATGTTAATCATATAATTTATGTGTACGTTTACTATTGTGTATTATTTTTCTTTTCTGATTTAGAATGTACTGTTTGTTTTAAGTTCAACAGTTTATTTACATGTGTTGTTACTTAAGCTTTCTCTTATTTTGACATATTAAAAAGTTGCATTTTTGTCTTAACGTAATAAAAATATTTTTATTCAACATTCACCATCAGTGCATGCTGAATGTTGACATTTGCCGGTATAAGTGAGAAATAATGATATTTAGCAAATACAGTGGTGCCTCGTATAACGTACACCTCGAATAACAGACTTTCTGTTTGACCGTTACGTGACTCGATCAATGGACTTGCTGCGAACAACAGACTTTCCGTTCGGCAGTTACGTGAGACGAACAATGGACTTTCTTCGAACAAGTGTGAATGATGTTTCCACTCTTTTGCCGTTGCCAATGACAATCTGCTATTTTTAGGATATATTAGTAGTATTAGAATGTATTATTAGTATATCTGAAGTAGAAATGTAATGTAATATATGTTGACGATTCAAATAAACGAAATGTAATTGTGTAGATGCCGAGGTGGCGGGACGAAAAGAGGTTGTAAAAAACAAACGGAGTGAGAGTAGCTCGTAGAAGTGTTTATTGATCTTAATTAATAAAGAATTATTCGTATCATATAATCTGGCAAGTTAAGTCATTTATAATGCATCATGGCTTCTAAAAAAACAGAAAGGTGATTTCAATTGAAACAAAGCAAGAAATCATCAGGAGTGAAAGTTGACAAAAACTTTCTTGTCGAATGGGGAGAGGTTCAGGAGTTTACCAACACTCATTATCCAAGCAGAGCTGAGGCCAACAGGATCAATGATCTCTACGATGACACCTTTGTCCGTCATTTCCGACAGGTGTTAAAGAAGAAAGAGAAACAGACCACCTTGGTCATGTTTTTCAAGAAGCCAGCGGGCAAAAAACAAAGGATGGAACAAGAGAAGTTGACCCTGCAAGTTCCGGTAGCCTCTCCTGAATCTGACTCCGATTAAAAAACAATAAAAAAAAGACCCGCTGCAATGTGTAAAAAGTCTGTATCTGTATGAATGTGTAAAGAAAGCGTTCTTCCACCTCTTCCTTAACATCTGACTACCCGGCATAATTGGTGTCTGCTCCATTTTCATTTTTTATGGTACAGTACGGTTATTTTATGCTGCAGAACGAATTATATGTTTTAACATGTATTTCTATGGGAAAATGCGTTTCGTATAACAGACGTTTCACTTAACGGATGTGCACCTGGAACGGATTAAGTACGTTGTACGAGGCACCACTGTATTTTGTACATTCATGAAATGAAAGTGTGAATGCTGACATTCACTAGAGAATGTTGACATTTGCCAGATATTGGTCATTCACAGTAACATATATACTTACTAAACATCCCAAAGCTCAATACATAGATACTCAACCAAACAATTGCCTGAATCAATTGTACTATATTATTAATGATTAGATACTAAGTAATTTGGTACTAGAGGTAGACGTTAGGCATCATCTCTTATCTAAATTAATAATAATTTTAAAAATTATAATTATTAATTAATGTAATTTATAATTATCCCAGCATGCCTAAAACAGAAATTGCACAAAATTCAAACTTTCCAGCTTAAGTAGGTTTAGTACTTAAAAGCTGGAAAGTTTGAATTCTGAACAATTCTAATTCTGGTTTTACTGTATTTAGATTAATGATAAGAGTGATTTTCATTGTTTAATTTACATTTTTGTGTGTTAAAATTATTATTTCAGAATGTAACTAAAGGAGCTCGTCACAAGATTATATTGAGCATTCAGAAATTAAAAGGAAGACAGAATCTTTTGCGATGTTTAGAAAAGGTATTTGATATTTAATGATTTTTATAATTACAGTAAAATTCCATTAACCTGTATGCTTGCAAACCTAATAAACTGATATGTTGAGCTCATCATTGGGGAGGAGTTATTGGTGCACTGAGTAGACCCAGAATTAGGATTTTCATGTAAAAGTGTTTAAAACATGTAGTTCTTGGAAAGGGGTGTGGGTTTTCCTTTTAGAGATGATAAATGCCAAGATGGCATGATGCTGTGCTAGGTAAAACAAGTTAGCTTGTGCATGATTTTTCTAAAGACTTTTCCAAAGACATTAGTGCACAGATTGGATATGAGAAGTAGAATTATCTAGCACACTTAGAATCAATAATTATCACAGAAACAGCTACAGTGCACTACTGTTTGTGTACTTTCATAATTAGAGTTTGTCTGTATTTATATGCAATAAGTGTACAAAACACAAAGTAAGAATAGTGCGTTCTTGTTTCAAGCTAACTAAAGATTGGAATAGGCTGGAAAAGTTGAAATGGCATGTTAAACAACAATCATAAAAGGCAGATTTGTATGATTTTACATGTGAAGATATGTAAAATTGCATCAGGAGATCATAACCAGAAAAACTTTCATCATCCAATAAGGTGGCATATTTGATAACCTGGCATTGCATTGGTCCTGACGATGCTGGTTAATGGAATGTTACATAAAATTTTACATAAAATGTTGAAAGTGTTTTATTTTTAAAATTAGTTAATTTTAAATTGAATAAACTTTTCAATAATTTTTGTAGTTCTCCCTTTCTATTAAAAACAAAAATACATTTTTTATTTTATTTTAGGATATACAAGAAGGTGGAAGCATGTGCAGTGCCTTAACAGAGCTGAAAGCTATGATTCAAACCCCAATTAAAGCTTTTCAGTCTTTAAAAGATTCTTCATTAGAATCGCAATCATTACTTTGTTGTCCATCTCAAAATTCTGATGCTGGTGTATCAGATAATGATCTTGCCTCGGCAGTGCCTGATGGAGATTTGCCAGGACAGTTCACTCGATTAATGGGAAAAAGTAAGCTTTATAAAAATTTACTTATTCAAATCACATCAATATATATATATATATATAAAAGTAAATTCATATTTTAATTTACTTAGTAAAATTTTTGATTTTAATTTAAAAAAATTTATAAGTCAATATTTTGAGGAACATTGTAAATGAACACAGTATATTTCTTTCAAAAAATTTTATTTTATTATTAGTTTATTTATTTCATTTAATAAACTTATATGAATGAAATATTTAATATACTTAAATTTTAATTTAAAATATTTTTACTAATATTCTGTTACAAATTAAAATATACCAATAAGAATTTCCTATTGTATTAACCAAATTCTGAGTGAAAGGGTAAATTGTTAATTCTGTTTGTGATAACTTATTTTGTTGAAAGTCACTTTTAAGTAATGATTGTTAGAAAAAAAACAGTGAGAATTAATAAATTAATTGAAGATAAACAACAGTACAGCTGTTAATATCTATCTTGTATTATTTTTTTTTAATATAATTTATGTAAGAGTTTTTAATAAAATAATTATTTTAGTGATTTTTGTAACTTGCCTAGCTAATACTTCTTTTATTTAAGGTCTTTAGTTTTATGTACAGTCTACCCCCCTATAACATGGTAGATACGTTCTGGTTTTTATGAAAGCCATTTTTTACGAGTCCTTAAATATATGAGCCAATCACAGCCCGGCACGTATGCAGTTTACAGACTACAGTTGTTTGAAAGGTTTTCTTCCATAACATTAATTGATTCTAGACTAATTCAACTCAACATTTCCAAAATATGTATAATTTTTTGGGAATAATTCATATAAACTGTGCTATAAACAAAAAATTGTAGGATTACTTACTGAGTGTTCACTGTTCGACGACGTCATTGCTTAAGCTTGTTTTCGTCATGGAGCGATGCATTGAATGGCACTCATGTGCTTCCTGATAAATTATTTTTCTGCGAAAACTTTGCTGAACTTTGGAGACATCATTAATATAAATATAATTTTTATGGACATTAAATAATAAATGGTTTTTAGTAGGTCCACTGCTTGTTTAAATTAAACGGTTTGTGCAATATCTGCTATTGGTCTAAATTCAACCAATAGTCATGACACAAGTCGGTGATGACATTTTACTGAATTATACAAGTCTCTTTTAGCATGTTTATATGAATACGGTCGCAATTTTTTTGCCGTCATATAGGAATCCGAACTATATGAACCTGTTTTATAGGGGGATCTATTATATTTCCAAAATTAAATTTAAAGACTTTAGAGAGAAAATTTAAATGTGATAATGCTGGAGCACCCCTATGCTTCGACACCATGGGACTGAAGGGTTGACATCGTGTTTGTGGTGACTAATTTGTCAGGACTGACACCACTCTTGATGCACACGAATTTCATTTTTGCATGCGAGTGGTCGCGTTTGTAGGCGCTCGGATTTGGGATGGAGATGACTGGGAGAAGTGTATGTTATTACGAATTTGAGAATTCATAATACCCATTTATTTATTGATACTTATTTACAACTTATTTTACAACTTGGTACATAGTTAAGATGCTTAGCAAGGCACAAATTTTAGATATCAATTATAGTCCCTAACTGAGAGAGAGTTTACAAATTGGTCGTGCATTGGTAAATACCTTAGTAGAACTTGGTTTCTTGGGGAATTGTAGAATTGGCAGATCAATGTGCTGCTGGTCCACCAGATGGTTTGGAAAAGGCTTCAATGACTTGAGAAGGATGAAAGTCTTTGGATGTGTTGAGAAGGGTAGAGGATCGGCAACGGCTTGAGCAGTATCCGAAACTGGATCAGGCGTGAACATCAGTTAAAAGCGAACTAACTATGATGGCGAACTCCCTCCTTTTTGTATTAGGATGTCTCTCATGACTTCATTAGGAATTATCATACAACAGTCCAATTGTTGAATTTCAATCATTGGTTCCAGATGATACATTTGATGTGTCACCTCAAGCAAGGAAACAAGTCGGTGGGAAAAGGTTTAATCGTTCTCTTTGATTTTTCTCTTTTGAAAAATTTTTGACTAAAATTTTTTGTCAAGTCAGGGCTCTCACATAGATATTTCTTATAAATTGATATTGGTGTGAGGTGCTCGGCGAGGTCTGAATCCCTCACTAAATAGTTTAAAAGTTGTAACTTTGGAAAGGGATTTTGTAAAATAAACATATTTCAACGAATAAATAAAAGTATTTTGCTTTTTTTTTTTTAATTTTTATAAACTTTTTTAAATAAAAAAAATTAAATAAAAAAAAAAGTATTTTGCATTAATAGATTGTAATCAAATTGAAATAATTGGCTGAAAATATACTTTGAAATATTTTATTTTAGATTTAAAATTTTTGAGAAATACTTTGTGAATTACAAAATATTTTTATTCATTTTATAACAAAAAAAAAAAAACAATTTGAGTCAACTGAAATGAATTTTCTGTTATTGATTTATCTGTTTATGAAATTAGAAGTTTGATATAAACTCTGTTGGCTATATTTTTATGTAAGTTTTTGTTTTTATTTTGTTAATGTTTATATATACTTCATAGTCACGATAATTTTATAATTGACTATTGTTTTTGAATGATCATTTAAATTAATAATAATTCAAATGAATTCTAAATTAAGAAATAATTAATATATTTAATTAGTTAATTATTATCACCATTTAAATCTAAATTTTCATGTTTAAGATTACATTTATATTTGTAATTTAATTTTAAAACGTTTTTTTTGTTTTTTTGTAGTTTGCACAAATCTTTTAGTTTCGAGTAAGCCAGATGATGAAAATTTGAATGCATTCATTATGCTCATTGATAAGTGCCTTAGCCATGAAGTAAGTAAAATATATTAGTATAATTTTTCCTCTTATTAGTTGATTGACTAAGCTATTTATTTAATATATACTCAGGCATTTACTCCACTTCAAAAACGACGATTGTTTTCATGGAAACAACAAATACAAAAAGCTTGGCATCCGTTACCTTCTCGACGTTCTCTGGATAGCAGGCAAAACCGAGGGTATTAAAATTTTTATTTTAATTATTATGTAGGATAGCTATGTATATTTGATTTTAAATGCTTTATTTGGATGTTATATGCATTACCACTAAATGTTTTGGAGAAATTAACTCATTTTCAAGGATTAATATTTTGTGCTATTCAGTAAAAAATTAAAAAAATCATAACTCCAACCTGTGAATTATAAATTTGGAGCAATTAAATATCAATATAGTATAATATAGATTATTAATTTTTATTTAATTATTTTAATTTTATAATTAAAAATTTAGTTTAAAATATTATTAGTATAAATTTAATTATGGATAGGAATTTTATAGATCAATTGAAGTTATAAGGTTAAAATGTTACAGTTTTTATCTGACATGGAAAATCTAATGCTTAATATCTAAAGTTACTAAAGCAATGTTTAATATATTTTAAAAATTTTTTAGAATTAGTTCATCTACATATGTCATACTTCCTTAATTAAAGGTTAGCAATGTCTATTTTCTGATAGGAGACCATTCATATTTCTTTACATTGCTGTTTATACAAATTGATTCTTTTATTGCAATAATTTAAATATCAAGATTTGGATAAATTCTGTCAAGTTTATTTTTGTCAAATATTATTATTATTTTTTTTGTATATGTTCATACAGTAGAGCGTTGTTTATCCAAAAGTTGGTCAACCGAAACATTGGTTAACCGAAAGTGTTCCAGTCGGCAAATTTAAATTTCTGCTAGTGCTGTGGCGCTGCAACCTTTGGCTATGTCTTGGGCTACTCCAATATTTTGTTTTGTTGGTGTGTGTGTGTTTTAGCTGGCAGCACTGGCACTTTTGTGTAGTGTTTTTCTGAGGACTGTGTGTCGTGCTGAATCAAGCGTTTTTGATACTAGATTAACTTCTAAAGTATTTTTTTGTTTTATATTTTTCGATATATTTATTTTGTTTGTACAAAATAAAGAAATAATTTTTAACAATACAATAGCCACGATTATTATTATAAAAATTTTCGTTAGTGTGAGAGTATCCTGGGGTACAGGGTAGGTCTATTACGCCTGTATCACTTACTAGGCACAGATTAACCGAAATCTGTCTCCTAAGTTTCGGATTGCGAGATCTGATCTTAAAAGTTTTATAGGAGGGCGATAATCGCTAATAGATATGAATCTGTGAAGTTCAGATCCTTGTCAGGGTCCCGACACCAGTTAATCAATTGTTTTACACGCGGATTAACACGCGTATGAGGTCCGATTCGGAATAAAATTAAGGGACATTTTGATTAAAAACGGAATAATAAATTTAATAAAACAAGAAATTAAACTCATACAAAATATGGATAAACGAGAGACAGAACTACTACAAATAATATACAAATCGAGCGATAGCTAAGCTTATATTCTACCCTAGTCGCGATCGAGAGAGAGCTCACAAAATGTTATAAAACATACGACCTGGTTAGTTGTCGTTCGTCTTCTTCTTTGTATGTAAGGGACACTTTGGAGATAAAGTTCATTTACTTCTTCGTATGGGAGATCACTATGTGCACAAAATCCAAGTATAATTTCTATGTGCAGACTCTAGACTTATTCTGTATGTGACTCGTCTAAGGACGTTGGTCATCAGGAGGAAAATGTATGTGGAGTTTGGACGCTTTCAGATCTGTCGCTGAACTCCTCGAATTCTGTCAAGTTCCCTGTATATCTTCGGAATACCGACCAATCATCGGCCAGTAACTCTTTCGTGAGAACGGATGAAAGGGGAATGAATGAGGGGTAACCATTTCCCATCTGAGCAGGATTTTAACCAGATAAGGGAAAGTCAGAGGATGTACTAACTTCAGTGAAAGGAAGTGACATCTGTTATCTGCTTATTCCCACGTTAAAACAGTATTTTTCTCACCAAAAATGAAGTAATATTTGGTGACATTATTTTAACATTATTAATAAAATATTAATTTAGACCCAGGGGCCTTTCGGGTCTCACATTAGGCTTAACATCGATGAAAATTCAACGTGAAGTGACTTGCAACAGAGAAAAATTTCAACATGGGATAGGTTAATATATTTTTTCATACATAATCGGTAATCCAAAAAATAAGTTATCCGAACAACCCCAGTCCCCAATTGATTCGGATAAACGACGCTCTACTGTAATACTAAAAGCCTGGGCATGGCAACTTTGGAAAGAACAGTTTATTTTAAGAATGATGGGAGTATTGGTATTTAGCACACTATTTTTTGATTAAAATTCTATCAGAAGGTCCTTGTGTAAAAACACTGCTTCTGTACTATCCAAATAACTCTGCATTTTTCTCATATGATTTTCTTTTTAGAAACGCTGGGACTTGTAATATGTCTGCATATATACTGACTATTTCATTATCTATACATGACTTCCTAACTTTATAACAAGATGAAAATATGCCAGAATTATTGCATTTTGACCTAAGCTGTAAAAGTTTGAGTCCCACCTGGGCTGTTGCAACACCAGAACCAGCTGTGTGTAAATGGACTGCACACATTTAGTGAATAGGTTAATAGAGGATTTAGCATAGCATGTTGCTGGCTGTGCTCTTCTTCAGCTTCAAGTTTATGTAATTGTGAATTAACAAATTTATATCCTTTTAAATTTTAAAAGCTTTTGTTTATTTCAGTTTTAATTCTGTGTTTCATTTGATGTTTTAAAATAAGTGTGTGGCTGAAGTTGACTTGATTAGAGTCAAAGATGTTTTTAAATAAAGAATTTCCAAAGTTGGTTTCCATAATAAACAGTAATACATAATATATTTAATTGTGGTGCCAAGTTTCAAGGACTATGATAAATGTTAAATTGTCTTGATTACATATAACATATTTTCGGGATTTTATAGATCAATTGAAGTTATAAGGTTAAAATGTTACAGTTTTTATCTGACATGGAAAATCTAATGCTTAATATCTAAAGTTACTAAAGCAATGTTTAATATATTTTAAAAATTTTTTAGAATTAGTTCATCTACATATGTCATACTTCCTTAATTAAAGGTTAGCAATGTCTATTTTCTGATAGGAGACCATTCATATTTCTTTACATTGCTGTTTATACAAATTGATTCTTTTATTGCAATAATTTAAATATCAAGATTTGGATAAATTCTGTCAAGTTTATTTTTGTCAAATATTATTATTATTTTTTTTGTATATGTTCATACAGTAGAGCGTTGTTTATCCAAAAGTTGGTCAACCGAAACATTGGTTAACCGAAAGTGTTCCAGTCGGCAAATTTAAATTTCTGCTAGTGCTGTGGCGCTGCAACCTTTGGCTATGTCTTGGGCTACTCCAATATTTTGTTTTGTTGGTGTGTGTGTGTTTTAGCTGGCAGCACTGGCACTTTTGTGTAGTGTTTTTCTGAGGACTGTGTGTCGTGCTGAATCAAGCGTTTTTGATACTAGATTAACTTCTAAAGTATTTTTTTGTTTTATATTTTTCGATATATTTATTTTGTTTGTACAAAATAAAGAAATAATTTTTAACAATACAATAGCCACGATTATTATTATAAAAATTTTCGTTAGTGTGAGAGTATCCTGGGGTACAGGGTAGGTCTATTACGCCTGTATCACTTACTAGGCACAGATTAACCGAAATCTGTCTCCTAAGTTTCGGATTGCGAGATCTGATCTTAAAAGTTTTATAGGAGGGCGATAATCGCTAATAGATATGAATCTGTGAAGTTCAGATCCTTGTCAGGGTCCCGACACCAGTTAATCAATTGTTTTACACGCGGATTAACACGCGTATGAGGTCCGATTCGGAATAAAATTAAGGGACATTTTGATTAAAAACGGAATAATAAATTTAATAAAACAAGAAATTAAACTCATACAAAATATGGATAAACGAGAGACAGAACTACTACAAATAATATACAAATCGAGCGATAGCTAAGCTTATATTCTACCCTAGTCGCGATCGAGAGAGAGCTCACAAAATGTTATAAAACATACGACCTGGTTAGTTGTCGTTCGTCTTCTTCTTTGTATGTAAGGGACACTTTGGAGATAAAGTTCATTTACTTCTTCGTATGGGAGATCACTATGTGCACAAAATCCAAGTATAATTTCTATGTGCAGACTCTAGACTTATTCTGTATGTGACTCGTCTAAGGACGTTGGTCATCAGGAGGAAAATGTATGTGGAGTTTGGACGCTTTCAGATCTGTCGCTGAACTCCTCGAATTCTGTCAAGTTCCCTGTATATCTTCGGAATACCGACCAATCATCGGCCAGTAACTCTTTCGTGAGAACGGATGAAAGGGGAATGAATGAGGGGTAACCATTTCCCATCTGAGCAGGATTTTAACCAGATAAGGGAAAGTCAGAGGATGTACTAACTTCAGTGAAAGGAAGTGACATCTGTTATCTGCTTATTCCCACGTTAAAACAGTATTTTTCTCACCAAAAATGAAGTAATATTTGGTGACATTATTTTAACATTATTAATAAAATATTAATTTAGACCCAGGGGCCTTTCGGGTCTCACATTAGGCTTAACATCGATGAAAATTCAACGTGAAGTGACTTGCAACAGAGAAAAATTTCAACATGGGATAGGTTAATATATTTTTTCATACATAATCGGTAATCCAAAAAATAAGTTATCCGAACAACCCCAGTCCCCAATTGATTCGGATAAACGACGCTCTACTGTAATACTAAAAGCCTGGGCATGGCAACTTTGGAAAGAACAGTTTATTTTAAGAATGATGGGAGTATTGGTATTTAGCACACTATTTTTTGATTAAAATTCTATCAGAAGGTCCTTGTGTAAAAACACTGCTTCTGTACTATCCAAATAACTCTGCATTTTTCTCATATGATTTTCTTTTTAGAAACGCTGGGACTTGTAATATGTCTGCATATATACTGACTATTTCATTATCTATACATGACTTCCTAACTTTATAACAAGATGAAAATATGCCAGAATTATTGCATTTTGACCTAAGCTGTAAAAGTTTGAGTCCCACCTGGGCTGTTGCAACACCAGAACCAGCTGTGTGTAAATGGACTGCACACATTTAGTGAATAGGTTAATAGAGGATTTAGCATAGCATGTTGCTGGCTGTGCTCTTCTTCAGCTTCAAGTTTATGTAATTGTGAATTAACAAATTTATATCCTTTTAAATTTTAAAAGCTTTTGTTTATTTCAGTTTTAATTCTGTGTTTCATTTGATGTTTTAAAATAAGTGTGTGGCTGAAGTTGACTTGATTAGAGTCAAAGATGTTTTTAAATAAAGAATTTCCAAAGTTGGTTTCCATAATAAACAGTAATACATAATATATTTAATTGTGGTGCCAAGTTTCAAGGACTATGATAAATGTTAAATTGTCTTGATTACATAACACATATTTTCAAGTGAAGATGTTTTGACAGAAATTGATTTTTTTTTATTGAAAATATTTTAATGTATATTTATAATTCTAATACTTTCCTAGAATTATATTTTGACATTTACCAATTCAAAATTCTTGCTATACAAAAACATTTTGAATAACAATAAATCTAATATAGAAGTATACCAAACTTTACAAAAACTCTATATGTCCTATTTTAATTCATTTTCAGAAAAAATTTATTCACAAAGTAGAGAAAAAGGTTTTCTCTGACTTTTCAGATAAAGTTTTGTTGAATAATAATTTTATTTTTAAGGAAATGGTCTGGAATACACAATTATCAAGCTGGTAATGGAACTCTTTCTCAAGGAACTGATTTTAGTGCCATAGCAACAGCTGGATCTGTTGCAGCCAGAAGACGTGCACCACCTCATTATCAGCATCACAATCAGAGGGTCTCTCTTGTAAGACAAGGTTTATCAGGTTCTCAAATAGCACAACGAAATCCTCTCTCTGTGGTTATTAAACGTCCAAGTCTACAAGATGTAAATATAATTTTTGTATTCTCAAGCTGTATATAGTAATCAATTCTTGTTTTAATATAGAATATTATTACATCTTAGTTTGCTTATTTACTTATTTTTGTAGCACCTAAAACCACATGTACCTGTTCAGAGAACACATTCTGCTCCTGTTAGACCAAATCCTCTAGCTTCAATATCTTGCAAGACTTCAGAAGGTAATCAATTCAGTTTATAACAATAATAAATGTTTGGTTTTTAAACATTAAGTGCTTTAAAATCTGGACAAATTAAGATATTACTTTATTATTATTATAATTTTATTTGTACTAAGGTGAGCCTTGTTACAGGAGGTTAGTATTAATACAGTTTAAAAGTTTACAGTTGTTGGTCAGTCATTATTCCATTATACATTTACTATTATAATATTTGAGTTTGAGGGGATATTTAGTGTGCTTATATACCATGGATGATAGACTGAATGCATTAATGAGTTTTGATCCTTATTTATCGATTGTGAAAAGGCTGATTCCATCATTAATGTATAACCAAATTGCCAGTCGTTTTCTGAATTATCAAATAGTTTATTGGAGATTCCAAATGATTGAAGTAATTTATTAAACTTATACTGCTATATGTTATTATTTTTAAGATCATTGGTTTGATTTATCATTTCTTGGTGTAAAAATTTAATATTATCATCATTAATAGATTTTAGTCTATAATAAAATCTGATTAACCTTTTTAAGGAAAACGGAAACAGTTGGTATTTGTTTGTTTCAGCTCTTAAAGCGTATCCTGGTAGTGTTCTTTCAATTTTAAACAATTTTCTTAAGAAAATGATATGAAATTTTTCTAGATTATATAGCAGATCAAGTGCCCATATAGGGCTATGTAGTATATTGAAGGGTTGTTAGGGTGTTAAATAATTTCATCTGAAGTTTTAAATTTGTGATTTTTAAAGATAAACATAAGTAAATGATATTATCTATTAAAACCCCTCAAGTCCCTATCCTGAGTTAACTCGAGCAAGGCGAGCGCTTGCATAGTTCCTTGCCCAAGTTAACTAGGGCAGTTTACATAGTGTTACAAAAAAATGGTCCTTAAGGGTTTTTAACTTTTCCAAAAATGAATGGACCAGTAAATGTACATTGTTTTCTATCACCTATGCAAATTTCATGAATTATTTTTGCTGTGATTAATTTTTATAACATGTTATTAATTAGCTAATTAATTTTGCTATTGTTTTTTTTATGTTGTTTTTTATCAAATTAATTAAATCATTCTAAACTTCTATTTGACAAATTTGAAGTCCATAAAATTTTTTAAAACACTATTGGATGTTTTTTATGACATCAGCAGGTTTTGTTTTTTATTCAGTATAATTTTTTCCCTATACCTTGTTTTTGGTTCCCCTGTATTTTAATAGAATAAAAATCGAAAATTTTGTGTTATATTTGAATAGATGCTTTAAATCGATCTTCCCCTGAGGCATGCATAAGAAACACAGTCACCAGCTGGAAAACAGTCACCAGCTGTTCTCAAGGTCAACTGGTTTGTAAACAATATAGACTGCATGTGTGAATTTTCACAAGCTGTCAAATGAAAGAATAACAATTTCTGCAGCTATATTTATCAAATAAAAGCATTTTTTAAGATTATTTCTAATTTTTTATATAGTTTTTCTATAAAAACACATTTTTAGGTGTATTTATTTCACAGCAATTATTTCCCAGTAATTTTTTTGGCTGTCAGATTTGCTTTTAAGTGAAAATAATTATTTAATATAAAAAAATAATAAGATTTTTCAAGCGGAAATTAATTAAGCCTCGGGAACTAAACTTAAAGAATTGATTTTGGTAGTAAGATTTTTCAAATGTAGTTGAAAAGTACAGTTTCAATTAAAGGTTATACCTAAATAATACCTAAATATTTTATATTATTTACTAGCATAAGTGGCTGACCATTTAAGAAGAAAGATTTCTCTTGATTTGATAGTTTTATGTTATTTCTAAATATAATTATTTTAGACTTAGATACATTGATCAATAAATATAAAGAATTCACTACTCAAAAACCTTATACACTGCAGCCATATTTATTAGCAAATTCAAATGTTTTTGGTCATCTTTAATGACCTTTATCAAGAACGAACGAAATGTTGACAGAAAACACATTTATCATTAATACAAATCTGTCAGCATTCAATTTCATTTGTTCTTGATAAAGGTCATTAAAGATGACCAAAAACATTTGAATTTGCTAATAAATATGGCTGCAGTGTATAAGGTTTTTGAGTAGTGGATCTTTGTTATAAAATGCAGTCTACGAAGAGAATAAAGAATTCAGATAGTTATTTACTTTATTGAGTTTATGTTGTAAAGTTATTCTTGTTGATGCTAAAATTAGCAAGTCATCAACATAGAGAATATAGTGGTAAATTTATCTGGAAATCTGGATTCCTTCAGTGTCATTTAGAAATAGATTACCCATATCATTAATGTAAAAGTTAAATAGGTATGGTGATAACGGTTCTCCTTGAAGTATTCCATGCTTTATAGTTAATTCTGGGAATGTTTGGTTTCCATGAACTGTGTTAATTCTATATGATGAAAACAGTTTCTCTATTGATTCTGAAAATTTTTTCCCATGCTGTGTATCTTACTAGAGTTGGGACATGAACAGAGTTGAATGCTTTGGAAATATCAATGAAAGCTGTATATATTTTTCTGTGTGTTTTGTAGATAGATTTGAATTATAATTTAGATAAAATGTAGCCGTTTCAGTTCCTTTAGTTGTAGTAAATGCAAATTGAAATTTTGAGTTAAGATTTTGTTCCATTGTTCAATGTTGAAAGTTTATTGCTAATATTGTAGTTAGGCATTTTGTTATTGTTGATAGTAATGCTATTGGACAGTAGTTTCCTGGGTCTTTCTTGTCTCCTTTTTTTATAAAACATAAGCAGTTTAACTATATTCCAAAATTCTGGATAATTTGATGTGTTATAGAATGAATTAAATATATCAAGCAAGGTATGTTTTACTGATGGTGGAAGTAATTTTAAAAATTTAGCAATAATTAAATCTGTACCGGGAGGATTTTAGTTTCATTTTCCTAATTGATATTTCCAGTTCTTCATAAGTAATCAAAGAATCTAATATTTCATTTTTCAGATTTATCACCTTCATGGTTGGTAATTTATTAATGGTTGAAAATCTTTTGAAGTAGAGTTTCCAGGATATAAATTCTATGTATGATCGAAATCTTTTCTATGTAAGCTTTGAATTGTTATCCAGAAGAAATCATTTTTATTTGTAGTTAGACATTGCTCTAGATTTTTTAAATATTTAAACTTCTTAGCTTTTAATAAATTATAGTATATTATTTTTAGCTTTTATAGTTAGTGTTTCATTTGAAAAGTTTCTCCTAAATTGTGTCAGAGCTTTATTTTTCTTTATTTTTAATATATAACAATTAAGGTCATACCATGGTTTCTTAAACTGATGAGATTTTGTATTTTTTATCGTTTTTATATTGATGAATTTTTTAATTGTATCTTCCAATTGGAAATATATTGCAATTCCATTTTCTATTGCAATTTTTGGTAAAGTTTTGATTTTATCATTAATTTGTAATTGAAATTTCTGATAGTCATAATTTATTTTTTGATACAGTAAAAATTTGCATTTATATATTTGGTTTTTTGCAACTTCAATGGTAGTTCTAACTGGAATGTGATCTGTTAGGTCATGGTTTAATACTTGCATATCAATGCATAATCAGATAGTAGTTCGGAACATATCATTAAATCAAATACCGAGCTTCTGGAGTTAGTAATACAAGTAAATTCAGATGGGTAGTCTTTTCCTAGTCTTCCATTTAAAATGATTAGTTGCAATTGATGTGTATATTTTGGTAGTTGAAGTCCCAGCTTATTGTGATTTATATCTTTTGATTCTCGGGTATTCTGTATTAACATATTTGGGCCTCTATATTCTAGATCCATTGTTTAAGCAATTTGGGAGTTGAAATCTCCTATTATTAGTGCGTATGGAGTAATATAATTCAATCTTTCTAGAGTTTTGAATATTTTCATTTAATAAATCTATATTTTCTGACAGAATATATACTAACATGATTATAATTAACTTTTTATCAGGGGTATTTCATATCTGTGTTAGTTATTTGCATCAAGGTTAATGTATAATTATTAATTTTTTTGAGTAAATTTTACTATTCCAATGTTTTTCTTTATAATTAAGCTTAATCCCCCATAGGGTCATCCTGGACCTTTTGGCCTCTGTGCAGCTGATGATATAATGATATATTCTTTGTAGTTTTTAATTAATTCATCATTCGGAAAAACCATCCAGATTTCTGTTATACCCAAAATATCAGAATCAGCAAGCAACTGTAAGAAGTCATTACTTGTGTGAGCTTTTGGACTCTTTTGGGAAATTTTAGAAGCTTATTAATTTTTGGCATTATTTTCTTTTTCCTCCTGTTTTGTTGGTGTTTGACCTTTTGACCCATCAGTGTACTGCATCACTTCGAAAGGTGACCTTAGAAATGTCTTTGAAAGTTCTCTCCTCACCACAGCTTATTTAGTTTCACTTTAGTTACGGGTACAAATAAGTAGCCAATTAGCAAGAATCTCCACCGGTTACATGCTAGAGGGGAGCAAAGAGGGGTCAACTACAAGGGTAGACCATACGATGGGAAACCATATCAAATTACTGATGATGGCCAGTTATCACCCAAGTGATGATTGTTTAATTGTCAGCGGTTGGGTCGGTGCAGCAGCTGATGTTTTGACTCTAGCCACCTGTCGCCATTAATTTAAGATGACAGCTTTCTCACGTACAAAATCAAAAGAACCGTTCTATTAACGTAAGCAACGCTAGCCGCAAAGGCGATTGCATCAGATTTTTCCCTGATAATTCCCATGCCGGGCTGTGTATAAAAAGGGGTTGCACTTGCACCTCTGGGCAGACATCCGAGACAGACTTCATCAGAGGCGAATAGCCAGGGGTGGACAGCCATGAGGACACAGATGAGGCAGATAGCCGAAGCAGACACAGCCCAAGCAGACAGCCAACAGAAACCCTCAGTGGACAGAACCGAGCAGACACCAGACCCATACCGCCATACCGTCTGTCGCACCATACCGCCATCCGAGAGAGACTACAATTAGGAACTGCCGATCCCAGAGCGTTTT